GGATCGGCGGCGCGGGTGCAAGGCGGGGGCGGGGCCTCTGCGCCCGGGCCGCCCTCTCTGGGTATAAACGTAACACGCGCGCTCCCTGGCTCCAACACGCCTCCTACGAGACAAGCAGATCGTCGCGACTCTCTTTGGACCCTCCTGCCTCACCTCGGCTCCAAATGGACCCCAACTGCTCCTGCTCCCCTGGTAAGGGACCCCTGACTTTGAGCCTTAGGCACGGGACAGAATGTCTCTGGGGTTAGAGAAGGGAGGATTTTGAGCGTGAGCTCAGGTGGGCTCCTGTCGTTGGTCCAGAGCTTTCTTCCTAGCCAGGATCCCGAGAGCATTTCCAGTCTCCCTTTGCCTCTGTTTTACATTTGAGGGCACTGAGGCTCCAGGCTGTCCTTTTTGATGTCAAGAGACTGTTAGACTGGGACCCAGTGCTCTGTCCTGGCCTTGGAGCTGCCAGGACTTGATGTGAGGAGGGGGCATTACCTCTTTATGGTTCAGGTCATAAGGGTTTGGTCCCCAGCCCCAGTCTGCCTGGTCAGAATCTGGAGCCTAGGACTTTCTCCGTGGAGTAAAATCAGGAGGAAATCTACCTTCCCTGGACCGGAAGAGAGAAGGTAGTGTTTCTCTATCTGCCTGAGTGGACAGGAGCTCCCAGAACTGGGTCCTGACAGAAGAGGAGGCTGCAGGGAGGGATTGTTGACTCTGCTGGAGCTCCTGCATCCCACGTCCTGCTCACTGCTGGTCTTTCCCTTCCTGGCAGGCGGCTCCTGCACCTGTGCCAGCTCCTGCACATGCAAAAACTGCAGATGCACCTCCTGCAAGAAGAGTGAGTGTGGGGTTTTCTCTTGGAACCTGGGGTCAGGGCTGAGTCAGAGGAGGGAGCCCAGAGCTCAGCAGGCAAGAGCAGGGCAGGGACCCAGCTTCCCTACATCCCTCCCTCAGGACTGACTCAGAGGTGAATAAATCTTAGCAATGATTGAGTCCCAACCTCTCAATCTAGAAAGGTAAACTGAGCCCAGAGTGGTCACCAAATATTGTCAAAGATGGATGCAAGACTAGAACCTAGGTCCTCTGTCTCCTTATGCAGCCTTCTGAGCCTTCCAGTATCCTAAGCTCTTTATACATGAACTTGGTGACCACGTGTACTTTTTCTAATTGGCTAGTGCAGCCCTTTCCTGTAGGTGCAGCCCAAAGCTTCCCCAGCCCTCCTGGGAGCAGTTCTGTAACAGGTTTGCCTCCTCTGATCCAGAGGACTTTCCTCACTTTATTTGTTGTTCTGGGTCAACCTTCACTTTCCCAGAGGCCCTGTCACTGTCTCTCCAAGGCTCTCTGCCCTGTGCTGGATTCCGAGGGGGCAGGCAGCCTTTTCATGTTGTCAGAGATCATTTGCATCAGGACAGAGCACCCCGTCCTAAACTCAGGGTCTGGGCCTGGGGACAGAGCTTGTGCGAGGCCTGCGGTTGGGAAGGGTGGTTCCTGTTAATGTGTGCTCTGACCCTCACTCTGCCTTCTCTTTCCAGGTTGCTGCTCCTGCTGCCCTGTGGGCTGTGCCAAGTGCGCCCAGGGCTGCATCTGCAAAGGGGCGTCTGACAAGTGCAGCTGCTGTGCCTGATGTCAGGGAGACCCTGCCCCAGATGTAAATAGAGCAACGTGGACAAGCCTGCATTTATTATTTTTCATACAACCTAACCTGATGTTACATTCCCTTTTTCTATGAAATCTTTGAATGACAATATAGTTACCTAGACTCTCTGGCTTCAAACGCCTCACAATGTGTTGGGAACTCGGGACTTGGGTTGTAGGGGAGCCTGCACTGGGGAATGTCAGGAAGAATGGGCAGTGGAAGGTGGGTGGGGTCAAGGCATCCTGCCATCTGGCCAGGGCTCAGCTCTGAGTTTTGAACTATGGCAAAGTGTTTCCTCTCCTACCTTCTAGAGGGTTAACTGGTTCTGGCCCTGTCTTGTGTATCTGTGTCACTGCCTATACTCACTCAATGCCACCAATGATGTGTCTACTGTATGCTCAGACATTGGGTTCTCAGCGGTGACATAACAGCAAGTGTACAGACTGCTGTAATTACAGACAGAATTATAGACAGTGACTGAATAGAACAAACAAAAGGGCTGTGACGGAGAATACTGAGGGGTGAGCCTGAGTGAGGAGACCTCTGCGCTGAGATCTGAGAGCTGCAGTCCTGCCGGAGGGGAGGGATGGAGCACTGGCCCTGGAGCTGAGAAGATCTTGGTGTGTTCAGGAAAGAGACAAAAGGCCAGTGTGTCAGGGACAGCATGGGAGGGGAGTAGTCCAAGGTCACTGTGGGGAGGGGAGAGCAGAGACCCATTCCTCTGAATGACTCCCTCCTCAACTGCTGAGCTGAGTCACTTAGAGTGTCCTTGGGGCAGGGGGATAAACGTGGAGTTTGGGATTAACAGATACACACTATTATATATAAAATAAACACAGGGACCTACTCTATAGCACAGGGGACTATATTCAATATCTTGTAATAACCTATAATGGAAAAGAATCTGAAAATACATATGTGTATGTATAACTGAATCACTTTGCTGTACACCTGAAACTAATACATTAAAAATCAACTATACTTCAATTAAAAAAAATGTCCCAAGCCACTGGCCCACTGCCCCCTTCCCAGCCCCCAATCTGATTTCTTAGGCCCATGATGAGTGGGGGGAACTCATTTTTCCACAAGTACCTGAGGTTACAATCCCCTGACGTGGTCACACGGAATCATTTAGTGAAATGCACTGAGCCTCTGCCAGGAAACATTTCCATCCCAGTTGGTATTTGGAGCCAACTGCCCCAACATGTGGCTGCCTGTACTGGAGGCCTAGGGAACATGGAGGTACCCAGTTCCTGTCTGTCTGTGGAGGGAGAGGCGGGCAGGCCTCACCCTGCAGGATGTGGCAAGTATCTTCGGAGAGAAGAAACCAGGCTGAGAGGGTGGTTGCAGCCTCCCTGTGGGCTCCAGCTACGGAAACTACCTGGGTGTCACGGGGGCTGATGTCCTGGCCACTGTTTCCTGGTAAGAGAGCCCAGCACGGACCTTGTGGGGCCTGGGCAGGGGTGCAGTGTGGCACTGCCCTGTTCGGTCTGGAAGTCCTGGTGCCAAAGTCACAAATTTGTCCGGTGGTTGTTCTTTCATAATTCTGCTTTGGAGACACGGCTGCCAAACCTCTCTGGGGAAGAGTACACCATGTTTTCACTGGGCCTGATAAACACACCATCCATCTGGCAGCTTTTTTATTTTCCAAGTCACGTCTGAAGTGGCGTCTCCTGGAGGGGCGGGCCAGTCATGACCATTATGGACGTTTGTGGGATAGATGAATGTATAATCATTTTGTAAAAATTTGATATGACTACATAAGAATGCTTTGTTTTATTCCAGAAGTCATGACTTTGTTTACCTGGTAAAGCAGTTAAATGCATCAGCTCTGGAGCCAGACTGCCCGGCTAGAAGCATAGCTCCACTACTTAGGCAAGTTTTGTGGCCCATCTGTGCATCACAGATCTCATTTGTAACGTGGGGACAATGATGTACCCACTCCTCAGGGTTGTTGTGAGGTTTACTGGGTCCAACACGGTCCCTGGCACATAACAAGGGCTCAATAAGTGTTACTTCCTTCTGAGTCAGGCACATGTCTGACAATCAGTAGATGATCCATAAATGCTCTCCACTTGATTCAGCAAGCTCTTATTAGGTTCCTGCTGTATGTGAATCAGTGTGCTGGGCACTGAGGGGGAAGGTAATGTGTAAATAAGATCCAGTCCTTTCGCTGGAGGAGGTCGTATTCAAGTGCCTGTTGAATTCAGGGAGCATTTGTTTATCACCTCAAGATTTTTTTTTCCCCACAAAGGAGTTGGAAGGATTAAGAGAAATGAGCAAGAAATGGGAAGACTGCCAGGCTTGTAGCAGTGGAGCCATTGCCAGGCTTAGGCCTGGAAGGTGAAGGGAAGGGGCTGTCACTGGGCCCAGAGACCAGTTGTGGCTGTAGGAGAGGACACTCCAACGGGAGCTGTAAACTTCAGCTAGGCTGGCATTCAACCTTGCAAGAAGGGAGCCTGGAAAACGCATTCTGTGTCCTCCTGTCCTCCTTCTGCCATCTCCCGCCAATGTGCCCATTGGCTGAACCCAGCCAGATACTGTTGGATTCAGATACAGCTCCCAGCCACTCCCTGGCTTATTAGGGGAGGGTGGAGAGTGGATCTGGAAGGCACATAGTGCACCCACAGACAGGGTGTGCCTCTATCAACAAAGGCCACATGCATCTCTTCCTTGCAACCTGGAAGAATCTAACTAATCCAAGGATGAATTCAGTTCAAAGGGTTGGAGGGAGGGAGGGGGTCAAGGATGACGGTGGAGGCTCTGGATTGGGGAGGAGGGACACTGCAGGCATTTCTGCAGGTGTGGCCAGTAAGTCTACTCAGAGCCCCTGAGGGGTGGCGGGTGGGAGGAGAAGCTGAACTGCACACCTGTGTGTCCCCACAGCACACTCACCTGGCCCCACCCATGGCATCACAATACCTGCTGGGTATTCAGAGTGATCTCTGAGGCACTCCTGGCTGGCTGAAGGCCCACATCCACCTCCTGCCCTGGGCCAAGCTAAGACTCCAGCAAAGTTCCCAGTTCCCCGGCCCCCGTATCCTACCACCACACCCAGCCCCTTTCTGGCCCTTTCCCTCCTCCATGGTGGCCTTTCTCCCTCCCTCTGCTGACGCTTCTGTTTAGTGGGAAGCAGAGAATTTGGGGTATGTTGTAAAGGTTGGCCTCGAGGCCAGCAGTAGAGACTTCTCAGGGGTCAGAGATTTCTCCTCTGAGCCTCTGCCTCTGACTGGACAGACTAATTTTTGAGCACTCAAGGGAGGAGGCAGAGGCAAGATGGGGCAGACAGTGTTGTCATCGAGGCTTGGGTGATATGTAAGGACTCAATGGACTAGCCCGTTGGAAATTCCAGAGGTTGCCTTGGAAAGCTGGGGATATAAGCCCCATCACCAGCCACCCTAGCCTGTCTGATACATCATTGTCATGGCTGGGGGTGGGGAGCACAGCCATCACTGGGGGTAGGGGTACAGCCATATGCAGGCTGCCTAGACTCGGCTCTGTCTCCAAGACACCTCCCCAGCACCCCTGCACCCCTATACACCCAGAGCAAGGCTTAAGCCAGAACCTCAGTTCAGTGACCTTGGGTCACCCCAGCTGGGAAGCTTTGCCAGCATCATGTGATCCTTCAGAAAGGGAAATGCTTTGCTCAGAGAAGTGACTCTGGGGATGGATTCAAGCTTGTGATGGTCATTGATCAACTTAGCTGTCCAGCATCCATCCCCCAACTTCCTTTTGGGGAACTCCCTCTGCTTCCATTGCATGAAGACTTGGAGGGAGGGAACTCCAGGGGTCCAGTTAAAAACCTAGAAGTCCAGACCCTTGCTCTCCAGGGAGCCTCAGCCAATCAGGCATTTCCTGGAACTCAAACATGGGCTAAAATGAGTTCCAAGGACATTTGTCACAGGCATATGCACTGACTAGATCCTTTGGGCCCCAGAGACCAGGCCTGTGGATCTCTCGTCCCAATCCTATGGCATTTCCTCGCTCCAGCCCCTTTTCCCAGCCTGGTCTCGTGGTACCTCATCTCTTATCATCCAGCAAATGACTCTCAGCTTCATTCTATTGCTTGTAACCAGGGAGTGTGGAGCAGATGTTGATGGGGCAAGGGGGCTTCCTCCATGGCATCACCGGACCACACACTGTGCCCAAGCCTGGCCTCACCAGATGCCAGGCTCTGAGGGCAGAATAAGACCAGGAGCCTGAACATCACTTCCCATCCTGAGCCCCATTCTGTCTTGCCTGGGCTTGTGAGACACGCCCATGGGTGAGGTTTTATCTGAGAAGGTAGGTGTTTCCTGCCCTGAGGGCCTGCCACTCTCAGGCTTGGGAAAATTACTTTCCTGGCAGGGATTCAAAATTTGTACAGTCAGATGAGGTTCTTATGACCCTAAAGGTCACATGGTTCTGGGTCCCTGGTTCTCATGAACAAACAAGGCAGAAGCCCCAAAGGCAATCTTCCCTAGAGGGAAAGTTCCCCAAAAGAGCAAGTGTGCAGGGCCCCTGGCATCCCTGACTCTCCTTACAGCATGCCCACCTCAGCAGCATAAGAAAAGGCTTGCAGATGGGGAAAAAGTCTTATTTGATCATTTCCCAGATCACGGGGAGCCATGAAGGGTTAAGGGGCAAGGAAGCAATGTGACTGGGGCTGATCATGCATTTCTGGGTATTTCCACTGTGTGGGCCTCTAACAAGCACTGGTTAGTAATGATGACTAAGAAAGTCTTCACCCTCCAGGGGCCCTTTGTCCATAGTATGGGTATGGGGCGAGTCAAGAACACAGATGAATTCAACAGAGGGTGACAGAAGGCAATGTGGCATCAAGCAGATGCCACCACTTCCTGCCACCTCCACTGCTGCCAGGCTGGGCCAAGCCACCGTGTGCCCTCTCGTGACTCTCCCTACGTCTGCCTTTGCTCCCCTGTAGCCTATGCTCAGCCCAGCAGCCAGAACAGTCAAAACCCTGCCCTGGTCTCCGTCTTATTCCCTGTGAAAGCCAAACCCCTCACGAGAGCCCACAGAGCCGTCATAGAACCTGTGGACACACCTCCTCTCTTGGATCGATGGACTTTTAAAGTTCTGCCACTCAAATGGATGCAAAATGGTATCTCATTGTGACCTTAGTTTGCATTTTCTCAAAC